GGAAGAATATATGGAGAAATAGCTAAAAAGAACCACATACGTATAGCATACAGAAGATGCGCTTCGATCTTCAACATCCTAACCAACGGAAAAGATCAACCGGACAAGGATAAGCTGTCAGGGGTCTACAGCATACCGATTATAGATCGCAGATGTGATAAAAACCTTCTGTATGTGGGCTCCACCAAGCGATCCTTAGAGGTTAGACTCAAAGAACACGCTGCGGATATTCAGAAACAAAGGAACACGACGACCCTAGCAGTATATGCTTCCGATCCAGATATAGAACCCGAATTTAAGAAAGCAAGAATTATCCGCACCGCACGGCACGTACACCATATCAGATGGCTAGAGGCGGCCAGCATATATTTGGCTAACCTTAAGGATAATCAATGCATCAATTATAAAGAAGAGATTACGTTATCAACAGCGTGGCTAGCGTTTATGAATAGTAATTTATGATAGCCCGTTTGGAGTCGACTGCGCATGACATACAACGACGGAAACGGGAAACGTGCATTCGAACTTACATATTTCGAATTTAAAGTTTTTACGAGCTGCATTTTCCATCAGAGATTCGAAAAAACCTGAAGAAGAACCGGTTAAGGGTTCGAAAACGTTAGTTTTGATTCGTTTTGGATCGTTAAGAGTTAGTAGACACACCGGTAACAGGTTAGAAAGAGGTAATTATATTACTATTCTCCGGTGTTGTGGTAAAGATGAGTATCCCATTTATATTCAGTATTTCAACAACCATAGTAATTGTCATATAACACCTACCGCTGAGAATGATGAGAATTGCCAAGAATGAAACTAACTATTTTCAATTTGATCAATTTTCTGGAACATTTACAATCGTTCTATAATCGAACCAATATGAAATAACAAATTTGAATTTAAAACAGTTCGAACATTTTTAAAATCAAAATAGAGAAAAATATTTATAACAATGTATGAAATGTTATTAATTTAATACACCTAAGTACTCGATGAAGACTAAATCCTCTCCCTCTCCCCCCTAAATTTCAAAAAATCCCTTCTTAGTGTGCATTGCCATGGCATACCCTACTAAAACGCAGATAAAAACAAAAAATTGCATCTAAAATAGTACAGTAGAAGCCATTTTTCTGATTAAGCCTTAATGCGTTCCTTCTCCCCGCGGGGGAATTTCGAAAAAGCCCTTCTTAGTGGGCATTTCCATGACATACCCTAACTGTCTACCAAATTTCACCTCTTTAGGTTAAGTGGTTTGCTCTGTGCGATGATTGAATCAGCGAGTGAGTGAGTGAGTCATTCAGTCAGTCAGGACAAGCAGTTTTATATATTTAGATTTTCTGCAAAAATGCAAAATTCTGCATCTAAAATAGTACAGTAAAGTCGAGTTCTTTAAAATAATGTTTAACCCTCTCCCTCTCTTCCACAGGGATAATATCCAAAAATCCCTTCTTAGTATGCATTCTGAAGGTGTATCCTACTAAAACACAGTCAAAAACGCAAAAAAAAGAAAAAAAAGATTAAAATCATTATTGAATTTTAACTGAATAAGTCTCTAGTATTCAAAAAGATTTTTTATTTAAATAACCTATACAATTAAAAAAATCAGAAAATTTTTCATTATTATGGAGAATTAACTTACTTGATGATAACTATACTTGAATTATATGGTTGATTTTAAATTCTAAAATGTAAAAAACTTGTTTTGAACTTTATATTTCCAATTCAATATTTCAAATTTGTTTATTTTGAATTTATTGTTTTTGGGTTACCTGAAAGGTGGAAATGATTAAAATATTTATTAATTGCCAAATTGTATACTATATGTGCCACTATTTATTTTCCTTCTTTATTATTTACACTTTATACTGACTAAAACTAATTCTCTCCTCCTCTTCCCTTGAGGGGGTTGGAATTTCCAAAAATTCCTTTTTAGTGTTCATTCTTGTGACTGTGTACCAAATTTCAACTTTCACCTCCTAACCATTTGGGCTCTGTGATTATTATTATTATTATTATTATTATCAACCCATCTCGATTATATTATAAGATGATCGGTAAGTTGAAAATCATGCTTATCCAAAAGTTCTTTCAAGCATTATTTTCAAAATCAATTTATTTTCTTAAAAATGATAATTAAGAAAATGCTTTAGCATGTAGAAATTCAATTATCCTATAAAAATATTTTTAAAATAATAGCAAATAATAAAACAGTTGAATTTGTTTTGAATTTTCATATTGTTTTAAAACAGCAAAAAAGTTTAACATTTCTTAGCATGATATGAATTCATATCTTTTTTTATTCTAATTAAAAATTTGTTATCTTTATTCTTGTAGTAGATTTATCTTTTCCTGGATTACATTTGGCTAATGTCACCTTGCATGTGTCACCTTGCTATAGATAGATTGATGAAAGCTTTCAAGCGAAAAAAAAAAAAGATAATAAAATATTCCTATTTTTAGAATCTGTCTAGCTCTAATAATTGCTAGTACAGTTCAATGTTTTGTTTTCATTGCCATTCATAATGAAAGTTTTACTATAACATTTTCAAATCAAAACTTTTCATTTCTTTCAGAATATTTAAAGAACACAATGTAATATCTAGTAAAAATAAATGTATGAATTTAATAAAATTACAAGAAAAATATATATTTATTCCCTTCAGATAGTTTATATTATAAGAGTTATTTGTACAAATTTATTATAATTTATGAATTAACAAAAATGAATCATACAATTCTTACAGCATGCATGTATTAAAAATAGAAGTTATATTTGACTTTATATGTGAAACTGTTCTTTCCTAAAATTATGAATTAAGTATTCAACATTGATATCTGAATAATACATTTTTGAATTTTTAAAATTCCATATACTGTAATGATTTAGGCATACATATTTTAATTAATGGCTTTATTTTATTATAGATTGAAATTTTTAAATTGGCTTGAAATAAAAAGTAAAACACATCTCATTGCAAATTTGATTTCTAATTTCTTGAATAACAATGAATAAAACTTTTTATTGTTGACATTTTTCTTTATAAAGAAATTATTTTGTTAAATTTTTCAATTTTTATCAAGTGTGATCAATTAATAAAATGTTTTTATTAAAACTAAATCTTCTGTCTTAAGCTGGAATTTTTTATAAATAATATATAAACAAACATGCTTTTTCATACATTTTCAACATGTCTTTATAATTCTGACAAACATTTTCAGCTTGATTTACAGGCCTTCTTCAGGTTAGAAGCCACTTTGATTAGGAGCATATCTCCTTCTGTTTGTAAAATGTAAATTATGGAAATGTTACAAATATTAATAACATATCCATGAGCAGTTATCTAATAAATAAATACGGTAAAACATTTTTGCATATATAAAAAACTTTTTTTATTTGAATTGAGAACTATTTCTTTGAAAAAAGTTCTTGTTTTTCCTAGAACTTATGCTAAGTATTCAAATAACTCTCTGATGCAATCCTAATGACCTCCTACAACAACTAAAAAGCCAATTTGAGTACCAAAAACATGTGTTTTGCACTTCTATCAAAAATTCTAATTGCATTACAGTAGTACAGAGGCCAAATTGTTCTGTGATCTGGCTTTTTGGGGAATTTTAATACTTTAAAATTAACTGTTTACTTTAATCTCTGTAATTACCAAGAATATTAATCAGCTTGTTCTCAAGTACTCTGTACTAGTTAGTTATGAACTACTCTGTGCAAGGTAGATTGGTAGCACTGTGTTATCTTATTTTCATTGTTTGTTTTCAAGAACTCTGTTCTCAGAAACTCATTCAATTCTTGATAGTAATCAATTCTCCCCCTGGTTATTTTCATGAAATCTAATATTAATACCTTTCAGGGGAAAATTTTAAATTCAAATAACATGACTTCCAGTTTTGCATCAGAAGTTCGTATATAGTTATTCGGAGCTTCCTGCTTCTAAGGTTTCCGTATCTAGTATTGAATGGATTTCATCTATCTAACTCCATTCTTGAGATTAAGGAAAGATAGACAGATGGGCAACAACGGGAATTTATAGGTCTACAATTTTTTCAAATTGCAGCCCAACAAAGTTCTTATATTCATAAGTCCCTTTGTCACATGACCTTTGTTCCTCTGATAAGGTTCAAAATTGTTATTAGACTATAGTTAAAGTATACTTATAGACAGTAGTTAAAATGTAAATCTATCTTGTTTTTACATATTTATAAAATATTTTATTACTTTTTGAACTAAAATTTAAATAGATAAAAATATTTACTGTAGATACTTTTTATATTTCAGTTACATCCACTATAGACCAAGGAGAAAAATCTAAATCAAGTGTCTTGATATCTGAATCTTCCCTTTCATACAAAATCTCTCATGGAAATGAAGAATATGAAGAATTAATTCAAAATCAGCTTTCATCTAAAATTTCTGTATCTTCAATTGTTTCTTCAAAGTGTCTTCATTTGAAAGGTCCAAATAGAACAGAATTTTGTACATCAGATGTGAATAATATATCAGATAAAATATTTCCAGAAAGTAAACAAATAGAAAATAGAGGTAGCAATTTTGAAAATATATCTTCTCCTAGTTCAGATTTTAGGGATAAACTGACTACAATGTGGACAACAAGTCCGCAATCATGGCATAGCCATTCTCTTCCATTTTATCAAAATGCTCATATAAATTACCATTCTACCGGATTATCTTGGGAAGGCCAATTTGCTGACACAAATGTCTCTAAACCCACTAATTTTGTGAATGAACTCGATCAACCTATTGATCTGAGGGTGTGTAAATCAAAAGATAGGATATCTGAAGAAATCTATAAATCTGATTTATATGAGAATTGGAGAATATCACAAAATATGTTAAATTCTTCATTAAGATCAGATCAAAAAAAACTAAATGAATCTAATAATCCTAAGGTAGATTTTTTAAGTCATCAAAAGTTGGAAACATCCCCTTTTAAGTTCATTCATGATGTAAATAAATCCAGTTTACCAACAAATATACTTAATCAGCATTCTGATGAAGAGAACAATGCATTTATTGAAACAGCTGCTAAACAAAAATATCAAGATTCAAAAGGTCATTCAAAAACAGTAAATTGTCATGAAAACTCTATCCCCTCATACAATGTCGGAAGAAGTGATCATTCAATTGAAACAGCATCCAACAATCAGAGTCAAAATCAATATGAAAATCCTACCATAATGACAACTGAGGAATCCGTAGATTCTGATTCTGTGCAATGTCATTCAAATACAGCAATTTCTCCACCAATCGTTGAAGAAAATGAACTTCATATGCCAGTAATTTCTCAGGAGAACAGTTTAATAACAGTACCTCATAACATTCTAAGAATAGATAACAGTACACATCAACAAAGAGAATGTACAAACAAAAATGGAGCTGGAAATAACTCTTACGTTACTGAAGGAAAATGTACTTGTGCCATTTGTAATAAAACATTCACAAAACCAAGTCAGTTGAGATTACATGTCAACATACATTACTTTGAAAGACCTTTCCGTTGTGATGATTGTGCCATTTCATTCCGTACTAATGGCCATCTTGAAAAGCATAAGCGATCTGCTAGCCATTATAATAAAATGCACACTAACACGTCTTTTGGCACACCTTGTGCTGATAATCCTCGTCCTTTTAAGTGCACAGATTGCAATATAGCATTCCGAATGCATGGTCATTTAGCAAAACATTTACGTTCAAAAATGCATATCATGAAATTGGAATGTCTTGGTAAACTCCCTTTTGGTATGTATGCAGAAATGGAAAGGACAGGAGTTAATTTCAATGATATTGATACTACAGATTGTGAAAATTCATTAGAAAGTTTACAAAAAATAGCACAAACACTTTATACATCTCAAAATGCTCATCAATCTTTGGACCTCAGTGCATCATCTTTACAGACAATAAAACCAAAGGCTCATATTATAAATTCATCCTATTCAAGTGCCACACCATTTCAAGTAATTAACAGCGGTACCGTTTCTTTTAACAGTAATCCTATTGGGATACAGCAAACGGGTCAAATATTGAATTTAAGTTCTTTAGACATTACAAATAATGATAAGTTAAGAAAATCAAATCACAATAAAAATTACCTACTTGCAAATGAGCAAATAATTAGAGATTGTATGACATCTCAAAAAGAATTTCATGGAGATAAACTTCATTCAGATGTAGCATCACCTCCATCCTTGCATTCTAGGACTTGTCCTTGTGATAGTTGTATTTCATTAAGATATACTGTATCAAATACAAGTTCAGGAGATAGCTGTGTATCACGACCAGTAAAAAAAGAACAATGGAAGTTAAAAGATAGATTAATTGCAGAGTTTCAAGAAGAAAGTACTCATACAGAAAATCCTAGGTGACAGTTGTTCATATGATCATCTCATGAAAAACATGATTCCCCACAAGGTAAGGCAATGATAAATTTTTACACATATATCATTTATATAATGTTTAACAAAACTTTAATTACATTGTTTTATTTTAGGTAATATTTTATTGTCATGGGGACCAAAATTTTCAGAGCCATTGTAAACTTGCATTACTTTCACAGCTACATCTTTCACTCATGGTTATGCTCGGGCATATAGCATTACGAGTGCAATGTTTCCTTTAACCGAGCTGGTCTCCTGTAAACATGAAATACGGTGTTTTCCTTGTGCTGGTTCACAGGATTCAACACAGTTATTTGACAGCTCATTATGTGATTGTGTCTGTAAATATTATATATATANTCTAATATTGTGTTAAATCTAATATTATCTAATAAGATGTTAAATCTAATATTAAAAAAATCAGTTTTTTAATATTATAATATAGTTTTGGAAGAATATATAAATTTTATTAATTAGCAATTAGAACAAAAAATATCTACTCTGACTGAAAAAAACTGTGGTACTTTGAAGGATGATATATGTGTAGACAAGGATATGAGTGGTAGATTCATGTTGAAGAATGATAGATTGTCTGATTAAATTTTCAACACTTTTGGCCATCATGTAATGTTGTGCCACTGAAATCATTGTGCTCTCTGTGATCTTGTGACATTGACATGTGATAAAGAAGGTTTAGTGTGGTGTCATTTTTGTGTATTATTGAAGCACAAGTAGGTTAAGTAATGTGCTTCTTTTGTGCAATTACAGTCATTTGTAGGGGGTATATTGTAGGCTGTTAAGAAGCTGGATGAACATATTGGAGGATTGCTTAATATGTTGAGCATGATGTGTCAGTTGTGTTTTGATTTTGTCAACAATGATCAATTGAACATTTCCATACCTATATATAGATGAGATTCTGGATTACCATGTAGTATAGATAATTCCAACAACATTTTAAGGACTGTTGTGGGAGACCTCACAGCATTTACAGCACACATTAGAGCAAATGCAGCACTGAGAATATCGATACGTATTATTGTGAAACGTGCACAATTCCAGTGGTTTCATGACAGGATCACTAGAGGATGGAATGGCACTGTAGAGTGATTAGTGATGAGAATATGTTCTGTCTTCATGCAAGTGATAGTCATATATGGGCGTAATGTTTACATGGGATCTTGAAAAAATTGAAACATGTTCTCAGGGTATTGCAACTTTTTTCAGTCAATGGATTTTTAAGGTTTATAAGAATTTGCATTAAAGATTGTTTTCAATTTATATCTTAAAATATTTTTGAATGTATCAGTTTTACTGACCACAGAAATTATACAGATTTTACAAAGAATATTTAAACATGGTTTTATATTTTTTTGAAAAAATTATTATTTCTAGGATAAACATAATTATAATTTTTGATATTGATTAGAATTTGTACATGATTAAGATTTTTGCATTTTTGTACATTAAAACTTCTGTAGACATAAAATTTTTATTTAATTTTTCCATTAATATTCTTTTGCTGCCAGTAATTCTTTTTAACAATCTTCAAACACTTTCCTGTATAAAATCTTTGTTGATTCTTGAATTCAATTCCTTATAGCATATTCTTATTTTATTTTATTTTTTACTATTATTAGTTTTTATCTCTTCTATTAAGTTGACTTATCTTATAATAAATGCTATTATATTTGTTATAAATAAAGCGGGCACTTTTGGATTGTTTTTCATTACTGTTTGGAGATTATTTATTTATTTTTTCTTTTTTCAAATCCTTCCATGTTTATATTACAAACTTACTTTCTATTTGGAAGATTTATGCATCTTAATTTTGATTATTTTTATTTTACTGATTGATATCGAAGGAAATGTTGTTAGAATTTTATCACATCATCAGTTTTACATAAGATTTACATGCAGATATTGCAATATAAGAGAATTTTTATTACTATTATTATTGTTAAGTTATATATAATTTTATAATTAATCTATAACAAAACAAAAATACAGTAGACCCCTATAATGCTGGTTCATATAATGCGGATTCGTATATCGCGGCGAAAAAATTGTGACTGTATTCATATAAAGACGCTAAAAGAGACTTGTAAAATGCAGTAAAACGTCATCGTGGACTCGACTGTATATTAAATATACATTTTATAATCCATTATTTATGAATATTCAAAATTAAATAATGATCTCATTAAAATTAATATTCTATATCATATTGCACATAACTTTATGTTATTATTAAAGGCATTGAAAATTTTAATGAAATATATAAACAATTTCTTAAATGTACAATAAAGACTATTTTATATTAAATTTTCAAAATTTAAAATATTGAATCTAGTTAATAAATACAGTAGAACCTCCATTATCCGGACCTCCATTATCCGGATTTTCGATTATCCGGATTGTTCAAAATAAACAAAAATTTTACGAATTTGCCGATTTGCACTTGGCAAATTACGATACTGTTTATGTACGTGATGGAATGCATAACTTTATTTGTTTCAACAACGTCTCACCCAGCACAGTGGTCATAAACTCTTAAATATATTTTACGTAGTAATAAAAATATAACTTGACATTCGTATAATTTATATTCAAATTGCATCATTTCTATGACCAAGGGCGGCGTAAGGCATGGACGACGTGAGCCACCGCCTATGCCTCGCGTCTGAAGGGCCTCGCGCCTCGAAGGTTTATGCATTACTTAAAAGCCGCGAACGCGAC